CTTATAAATGAAATGCTTTTGAATAAAAAAAAACACGAATATAAGATAAGCACTACCATTTAGACACAGAAAAATGTTATAGAAAATAAAGATTTCATTTCCCACTCTGATTGAGTTATTGATAAAGAGCACAAGGGTTTTATCAGTTGTACACACATCACAACAAATCTCTTAACTCTGTTTCAGAAGCCAAAACCCCACCCCCCCCCTCCTGTAAAGACGGTGATGAAGCGTGGGAGCCCTGCCTGGAAGATCACCGTCGCACAGCTGAAACCATTCTGCAAGAATCCCTGACAGAGTTTGCCATGAAGGTGTACTCCCACTTCAGACAAACATATCCTTCTGAAAACTTACTCTTCTCCCCCATCAGCATCAGTGGGGTGCTCTCCCATTTGTTGTTAGGTAGGAGAAGTTTCTCTCTATTTTATTTGTTCTAAAAATGGTAATTTATGTACACTTTTTATCATATTTTTACCCCCCAAAAATATCATTACTATTATTAAATTACTGTTATTATTATTATCACTAGTATTTCAAAAAGTCATTGTGTAAGAAGTGTATTAGTGTGTTTATTGCTTGAAACTCACTTGGAAAGATCACAAAGCTTTAAATGTTCTTCCATTAAAATATCCAACAGATCTTGCAGTTCCCTACACAGATTTTATGTACAAACATTAGTTATGATGTGTTTGGTCCTTTTTCTGTTCTTTCAGCTGCGCGTAATGACACCCGCAGAGCCATTGAGACCGCTGTGTGCGTGCCTCATGATTTCCATTGCGTTCACTTCCAGATGAAGCAGATGAGAGAGAACATGGCTGAGTCGTTGCAAATGGCCTCTCAGATCTACTATAACACTGGTATTCCTGGCCCTACACAAGTTGTCTTTAATGTGATGGAGGCTCAGTGCTGTGAAGGGGTTTGGGAACTTCTAGCTGTTGCTCATCATGGTTCCTTTCTTGTCTTCCTCAGAGCTGAATCTTGGCAGGGTCTTTATGAACCAGTCCTATGAATACTACGGAGCAGAGCCCTCAAAACTGCATCAGAGTAGTGAAAAAAACACACAGATGATAAACAGCTGGGTAGCAAATAAAACCAGAAACAAAATCACACATTTTGTGGACTCTGTGTCACCCAGCACGCAGCTGATCTTACTCAATGCTGTCTCCTTTAGTGGTAAGCAAAGGGTTTTTTCTTTCTCTGTTTATGCGAACTTACGTGAATGTACATTTGTAATAAGACTTGTGTTTGTGTGTGTGTGTGTGTGTGTGTGTGTGTATTCCAGGCCAGTGGAAAGTCAAGTTTGGTGAAAAGCCAAAGAAAGGACGTTTCACCAAACTAAATGGGGATTTAGTTCCCGTCCCTCTCCTCCATCACCCGAAATACATGGTGAAGACCATGCACAGTACTGACCTGAGAGCACAGGTAAACTTCTTTTTTTTAATATGTGAATGTGGTTCGGTCGATGGTGCCATGGCACCAGCATGCAACATAGTAACCTCAGTGTTTACCCAATTTATTAAAAATAACTCCAGAATAATTCTGACAGGTGGCGAAGTTTGACCTGACAGGGGAAAGCAGTCTGTACATTTTGCTGCCTTTTAGCCGCCAAGAGGCCGGTCTGCGGATGGTGGAGGAGAGGATGACGGACTCAGCTGTCCTGGAAATGGTTCGGCAGCTGAAGGAAGTGTCACCCCAGGTGACTGAGGTGACTCTGCCTCAGATCAAGTTGGACGGCGAGCCAAACATGAACATACTGATCAAGAAACTAGGTTTGTTCGTCCAAAACGTCCATTTCTTTCAAAATGTTTGCTTTATTGCTGAACGTCCAACCAGTGTTGCACTAACAGCCACAAAGATCCAATATGTGTCTTAATCTGATCTTTGATCCTTCTGTATCTTATCCATCTCATCCGCCAATCAGGCCTGTCATCGCTGTTCGAGGGTGCCAGTCTGTGCGGCCTCGACTCGGAGAAAAACGTGGTTCTGGACGAAGCCAGGCACAAAGCTTTCCTGGCGCTGACAGAAAAAGGAGTGGAGGCCGGAGCTGTGACCAGCCTGTCGTTCTCCCGCTCCTACCCGTCTTTCTCCGCCCTGCGGCCTTTCGTTCTGCTGCTGTGGAGTGAGCGGGCAAACGTGCCGCTCTTCATCGGCAGACTGACCGAACCGTGAGCGAGAAAGGGAAAGAGGGGCTGACGAGAAGAAAGTTAATCGTTAATGGAGGCCGCGCAATAAAATAAAAAAACAAAAACAACATTGAATGACGCAGCTCCGACAGATCCTTTAAAAAAAAAAGAAAAAATCCTTCGTCCCCACTTGGGGGTTGAGTGCCCTCAGATATCGTCAAAAAGAATAAAAAATAATTAAAAACAGTTTTTCCTTTGAGTAATTAAGCACGTGGTTCAAAGGAGGACAGAGGACAACTGAAACGCTTCTTTTTATTTTGTGAAGTTGTTACACAAAACCCACCACAGGATGGCAGCCATACTGTAAGATAGACATTGACAATAAATACACAGGGACTGCAATCATGATCTCCCACCTCCCTCCAGAGCCAGTCTTCCTGCGTCATTACCACTGATAGCAATTTAAGGAAGACAAGTGTCAAAGTCTGTGACGGTAAAGGTTTTGTTTGTTAAAGCAAGAGCTTGCTTTGTAAAGCACAGCAACTGAGCAAAAAATACCCTGAATTGTCATCTTCACAAAACAGATACACAAATGAATGGCATAGACTGTAAACACATCAGTATCCTGAATGATCAGCTAACTCTGCACTCTGTTATGCAAGCTGATGGTCTGATGGTGATTGCTAAACATGCAGCTGTATTGCAGATAAACAATTACATAAGCAAAGCGAGGTCAATAGACGAGAGTCGTAGAAACCTGTGACTGTAAACAACAGATCCAGAGACAGAAATGAGCAATCATCTGGTCAGAAATGCGGGCTCCGCCTTATCGCTGTCACCCAGCCTAAACTCATAGAAAGTACTGAGCATTCTCTGTAATGACTTGATCGTGTAGTTTTGGTTTGATTATCTCATTGCTGACGTGCCCGGACTTTTAATGTGCATAGACGAAGGACAGAACAAGCCCCGCCACCCAAAACCCCCACCGTTTCCTACCGTACGTTTTCAAACTCTCCATGCCTTCCCAATTGTTATGAATCCCGAGCCCTTTTTAGGAGAAACTCTATCTGTTACAATCCGACAGGACATGGGATGTATCCTTTTTTTTTTTTTTTGTAGTCAACATTCACAAGGACATGGCAGGATATGAGCAGCCAGACCAATTATCAGTTACAGAAGCCCTCAGGGGCCACTGACAGACTTTATGTATGCTTTTGTGAAATCGGAGTTGTTATGATAAAGGAGCCAGGGGAGTACATTTGATACCTTAGATCCCAGTCAGTGAGAATTCCCTGTCACTTTCTGCCAGATGAGCTGCCACACTGGGTATAATTCTTTTTTTTTTTACTACCTGAGGTTAAACTGTAAGAAAGGGATTTGTTCTGTGTGTCTGCTTTTCTACCAACTGCACAGATGACCTAAGCAGGAAATTGTGCATTGCACAGACCAGCAAGCGGACACATTTCCTGTCCAAAAGGATGAAAAATTTTGCTACTGTGACTAATCTCTAAAAGGTCAGAAATAACAGGCAAAACAGAGCTCTGATCAAAGCACTGACTCCCCTCTGATGGCTGACGCAAGATTGATTTAAATTTCGAATTATGTCTTCCTTCAGAACCTCTCAGGGAGAGCATGCAGTGGTGGGTCAGGGGAACTTTGTCATTTGGGTGCTCCGCTCATGTCAGTCAGACAACCGGACCAATCAAATTGTTGTTCTATGAACTTAAAAATCATCTGTCGTTGCGCTGCTGAAAGAAAATCTTGCATCACATGTGGTGGAGCAGAGTTGGAGTCACTGACATAAAGTAAATTCTCTTTTATCCGGATGAAATCTGGTTCATCAATGCTGCAACAGAGTAAAAAGCACACGCAATACATCCAAAAGCAATATCCATTGTGCCTGCTGCGGACTTCACTTGAGCCTTTCATCCCCAAAGTCGAAAAGAGAAGTCAGATACCATGTCCCGAGATTTATTCCACTCATGAAGCAGCTCTGTGAATGTCCGGCAGGAGGAGTGAGATGTGCAAAAGACTGGACTGCTTGACTTCCAGCCAGGAACACTCACGCTGCTGAAGCCTGCGATGGTCGCAGAGGATTTCTCAATTCATTGAATCTAATCAGTATTTCTTCCCATCTCAGTGCTTCTGTAGTAGAAAATCTTGAAATGGAGGATGGAGAGAATACAGAGAAATACATATTGCACACACGAAAAATGTAGGCACTCTATTGTCCAGACCTCCACGCGCACACATAAATATTCGTGCACACTCAAATATGCTGACACGTCACCGTGTGACAAGAAGGTGGTGGAACACCACTGCCACTGACACACCACAAAATGACAAAACACCAAAATGATAAGGGAAACCAATCCACTAGATGGATCATTTTTGTGCTTTACAGTATAATACGTATTGTTGTTTTGCATCAGATCAACAGCCACTAAAATAACCAGACGCCTCACCAACATTCCCACTCCTGGATCTATGTACCACGTTATGAGTCACCAGGGTGTACATGCAGCTGGCTGCTTTCTCTGAATGACATGTTTTGAGTACCTCAGCCTTGAGTACCTTAGACTATGAGCAACTTCCACAATACAGTGAAGTCTAACCACGATTTTTGTAGCATTGTTTTGTTACGTTAACACTTTAATGAGGACATCGTCACAATTTTTTGTTCACCTTGAAAAGAAATGTATTCAGATTACACCTTAGTACCATCACTAATATTAGTATGAACAAATACTAATACTTTGTGCTGTGTTTAGTAGCAACAAATAACGGATTTCAATTTTCTACATCGCTGTTATTGCATGTTTTATCCTTTGTTTGGATCGCTGTCGTTCTCGGACTGGTCAACCATAGTTCAGCGAGTGTGTCAAAAGTGTGTGTGCGCATGAGTGTGTCTGCCCGGGTGTCTTGCATGATCTAGTCTGGCTTGTCGCTGCTCGGAGCTCCTTGTTGCGTGAGCGTATGCCAGAACTCGACTTTCTTGCCTTTGTTTTTGAGACACTCAAACCAGTGCTTGAGTCTCTGTCCATTTGCATTGATGCCCAGCTCCACTCCGCCTGCAAACAGAGAGGGGGGTGCAGAGACAGGGGGGAGTCAAGAGGTGATGGGAGGTGGTAGGTTCGAGAAAAGGATGGCTGTGAAACAAAGGGGCAAATGTGGCGAGAAGTGAGGAAGAGCTAACTGAAAGCAGAAGAAACAGACTTCAGGCACAATCTGACAAGCTATGATTTGTGGTTTGGAATTTCCTTAGTGGAAATAAGCTTAAGTCAGTTTACTCACTGCAAAATAGAATTTTACATTTGTTACATATGCAAAGTGTTACATATGTTCAAATAAGATTCAGGGCACACATTTAGTCTTAATGTGCTTATTGCTCATTGTTTCACCAGGTTGGAGAAGCAAGCGCCCTACTTTTTATCTGAGACTGTTCAGTCAAGCTCTCAGGTCATCGTATCTGAGACTGTGGGGACATCTTATCCCAGTAGCGACACAGAGTGAGATTCAGCTCTGCTGACAGCCTTCTGAGGTCAACCCCCCCCTAAATCCACTGGGTAACTGGGTCAGAACATTCATGCCCCTCTCTCCCCACAGAAAAAGTGATAAATGTTAATGCAAGTTTCTGTGTAATCTTGGTGTGTCCTACTGACCACTTTGGGCTGTTACTATTTTAAATTTCCATTAGCCACACATTCATCCTCCACATTTATCAAAGGGTTGCAGAGTATTTTGACACCACAACTTCTTCTCAAGGGACAAGCCTCTAGCTACTGATTGTACATAGACTAACCTGCTGCTACCATTGTAACACATATGGATCCCAAAATCTGCTTTGTAAAGAACTTTTTAACCTAGCTGAAAATTTTCATGAAGAGCAACCATTAAATACCTGTTTTTAAGAAGCTATGTGACATCTAAAGGGCCATGTTAGCATGCTTTTTAGTGCTGCTGCGCCTTTCAGGGCCGTGACTTTTTCTTTCAGATTTGAATATCCCTTTGAATTCAGGAAAAGTCTGAGGAGAAATGTGAAAATGCCAGGCCGAAAATGCTTCGGGCCACAGGCTGCAAAGGTGAACTTATCAGACGAAAGCATTTTACTTTGGGATCCAGCAGAGTGTGCTCTAGTATCAGCTCGACCTGACAAATAGCCGGTCACCTCGCTGTGTGTGGAACTTATTTTCTTTGTTAAAGGTACTATGAAGATATCAAGATAAGCTGTCCCAAAACACCTCATTCACCCAAGGTGAACTATGTTTCACTGAAGCGGCCCTTGGATGTGTTATGAATTAACGGAGCATGGTAATGAACAAAGCTTCTTAACTGCATAAAGCAGATGTCCTCAGCTAAAACAACGGCAGATCTGGGGACTCACCTGGTATCTTGTTTCCCGCCCCTGTGAAGAGGCGCAGGTGTCCCATCTAACTGAATTAAAGTCAGAGGTTCAAAGTCATCTGCCTCGCTGCCATACACACAGCCTTTCATGACGGGTGTCTTGCCAGAGGCTCGTAAATATGCCTTCCCATCAAGGTAGCAAAGTTTATATGAAAAGATAAGCAGGCTGTTTGAATGTATTTTCCTGAGGAGTTTACTCGACAGTTGCTCAGAGGAGCAGGGAGGAAGACACAGCTATTCACCATGGACTTTTTTGTTTTTACTTCAAAGGCATCGGGTTGTATTACTTGTATCTGTAGAGGCTTTATTTTAACTTCCATGTCTTTCAGGTCCTTAAAAAGGAGGGACATGATTGGGGAGCAATGGACAGAAGGGCAGGAACAAACAAAAGGAAGCTGCTTCTTCTTTAGATCGGTCAAACAAGTCACCAGAACCTTTTTGTATTGACATGTTTCAGTTTTTTTCCCCCAAGAAGATACAGGCTGAAAATAGGGTCTTATATCATTTTAATAAGCAGTGCCTTCCATGCCAAAGATTTTAGTGTGATCTATGGACTGGATCTATGGTCGAATTTATGCCAGTTTTCACTGACATAAAGACTATAAAGAGCATCGTACAAAACTCCAAAACACATGGTGGCACCATTCAGTCAATTTGACTGGAGGTGGACTCAGTGTACCTACTTTTTGTAAATTAGATATTCACCCAGATTAGTGGTCACCTCTTCAAAGAGAAAGACAGTGAATACAATGGGGTGTGACATGACGAGTACGTCAGCACTAGAATAAAAGCAAATCCATGGCCTTGGACATATCACAAAATACAGAAAGCACACGGGAAAAGACAGTTTGTTTCCTGGGGAAAATCTAATATCAATGAACCATGACACCAGTACCCACTAACACAGACAAAATCCTGCTCTCGCATACGTGAATCTGAAAGAATTGTGTTGGTTGGGATTGTTTTCGCTTGAGTGTGAATCCAAAAGCTGAGTGCAAAGGGTTGTGAACACAACTATAACGTCTGTTACGACGAAATCCTAACCGCTGTGGACACCTATCCAACTCTATGAATAACATGGCAGAGAGTCACAATGTATGGCCGAGTTGGAAGTGAGCAGATATTCTAAACAGAAAAAGAAAAAGTTCTCATAGAAAGAGAAAACAACAAGACAGGCATCCCTAGAGGAGTAATGGTCTATAAAAATATACACGATCATTATGACTGTTGGTCTAGTGCTTATCTGAGCTTTGCACTGCACTGAACTGAACTGCCTGAGATGCTACTGGACTGGACACCTCGGAGTATTTCCTAGCTCATTGCCCAAAGCCGGCCTGAACCTGCTGGTAGTTTCGATCAGATAATAACCTCCAATGTTTTGTCACCTTGACTCCCCACCGTCACACCTCTCTTACCACCTCTGAGCAGAGATCGATGGCATGTTCCCCGTGCCTGTAGGCTGCTGCTGGCGAATAAATGAACACCTGTTGCAGGACAAAAGGACGCTCGAGGATCCGGGGCAAGAGGAGATGACACTCTGGACCCATGCAGAACATGATAAAACATCCTGCTTCAACGCTGTCAACAATAACATACCCTGTTACATGTCTCCAGCCAGAGAGTAAACAGCTAGCGAGTCCAATTAGTCCTGCATAGCAGGAGGTACTAATTATCTTAAATATCTCAGCGTCTGATGGACGACGTTTGTGAAAGATCATGAAACAGCATCTGTTTAATCTTCTTCTCGTGACTTTCTCCTCATTTTAGAAAATCTGACACATTTGCGCATTATTGCCCTGCTTATAAAGATGTCTGTGTGCATAGGTGAGCAGATATGCAGGGAAGGAACTCTTTCTCAATCTGGAATTGTTGATATAACTTTTCTCCCCCTGCTTTATGTGGGTGTATGTGGGAGTAACTACAAGAATGTCTCTGAAAAGCAAAAGCCCTCTAGAACTGACCTTTGACTCTTGTTTAGTCGCCTTGAGAAGAACTATAGAATCAAACTCTTGACTTACTGGACCTGCTAAAGATATATTGATTTTTCTTTGCATTCCAGGTAACACATTCAAAGGTCTTTTACAAATGCATGAGAATTAAAGTAAACACAATCACGCCAAGTACACTTGACTGCAGTTCACCGTCGGGCCAATTTTGAACTTTAATTCTCATCTTAACGTGTCACCACTTGACTGCTTCATAGAGTCTAATGGCAAAGAGATCTATTTAAACGTTGGTCTTTTTGACCGTTAGAGTGAAAAACAAACTGAATGAAAAGATGTTTGCTAAACTTCCCATCAGTTAATTTGATCACACCTTTCTGTCGGTTCAAAATGGATTTACTTCGTGGCCAAACATTTGACTCTTTTCTGTCCTTTTTTTAAACAAAACTGTTCACACTGGTGATACAATACCATGACACATTTGTCAATGTCTGAGAGTACAAAAAGTAATCTAGTTTTATTTCTTCAGTAAGACCTATATATATATACAATGATAAATATAAGGGGCCACAAAATCAACATGAGACGAAGGAAATGTGAGAATATTCTTTCTTCAGCGACATGTTTTGTTTATTTCCCAGTAAACCCAACACTAAATACACAACAGGACCATATTTGGGTATGGGCCTTGGATTTGGTTCCTGCTTTAAATAAATCTCTACCAAGGTACTGATTAGTGTCCTGATTAGAGCCCAGACTGATCGGGTTACCCTCTATTTATCAACAGAATTTCACGCCTTAGTCTTTTCTAATTATGCTAATTTAGCTGTTTACTTTAGCTTCCATTTTTACTGTGTCATTGTGCTCTCCCCTCCATTTCTCCACTCTTTTTTGTCTCGATGTCATGTTTTTTCTGAACCTAACCGGCAGGCTGCTGCGGCTGAACCCTTAATGATAATGGACATGGGAATAGCTGTCATCCAGAGCTATATGTTTCTACTGATGGCCTTTTTAGCCTCCAGGGCTATAACTCACTGAGCTTATCTAAACAGCTACTGTCTCCCTCCAACCCACACACCCTCCACTTCATGCTAACAAGTGCGCACACACATTAGAGAAAGTAAAATGCTTTGATCTGAGGACCTTCCAGCTAGCAGGGTGGTAATCCATTCCCACTATGTCTCCCCACTGGTTCTCCATCCCTTTTTTAGCTCCCATGTGCTTCGACGCCTTGACACGCACACACACCAGGCCGCAGCAAAGCTGTTCAGCAGTCTGATTAAGCTGCAGCCATCTGATGTGCCAAATACATGAAGGATATGGATCCAGAGAGACACATCCTCTCTTTTGATTTCTTCTCTCTGTTTCCTGCACCACTCAAAGTCTTCTTTGCTCGCTCACTCATTCCCCTCAAGCATCATAATTACCCCCTCATATCTTAGTTCCCCCCCCCCCACTCCTCTCTCCACCCACACTCGGCCTGGTTTTAATGTTTTTTTCAGTTTCTCTGGTTCATTAGAACACATTCAGATTCTTTGCTGCTGCTTCTCCTCTCCACAGCCTACCTATGAAGTCGTTGCTCATTCCCAAGTCATAGTCCCACACAGAGATCTCCAGGGTTTTCTTTGCCAGCTGGTCCAAGGATACTTCATATGAAAACTCCTGTGCAGGTGGTGTACACAAAAGCATATTCATATCAGTCAGGCAGGAATAGAGTATTCAAAGGAGCCTGAATTTCTTCATTTAGATTGCAACTTTTAGTGATTTTCAAATGGCATATTTTCTCATTCCAAACAATTTTAGCTACTAAGAGCTGGGTTGCATTCAGAGCTGTAGTTGATAGGAATCAAGAATAATGGATTACCTCATTGAATTCGGGATTGAGAGTCTTTTTCTTCACTGTGGTCTTGTACTTTGACTTTTTCCCCATATCTGGCTGTAAGATGCTGAGAAACAGAAAGTGAAAAATGAAACAATTTAGCAGAGCCCCGTTAGCACTTACGATTATTAGATAATTTTTAACATGCAAAACAGAGACATCTTAACTATACAAACACCACGGGTAAAAAGTTGGGTCTTTACCAAATTTGATGGTAGAGATAAAATAATTGCCAGTGGCCAAAAACAGATCGGAGTGGTTGACTGTCCCAATAAAGCCATTTCCTATGTTTTCGTTTACATCCGTTTGTCATCCTAACACATACAAATTCAGATTTTAAAACACTGCCATTAGGACATTCCATACGATGTCTTAACCACTTCCTGCATTGATGGCCTGCATATGCCACTGATCCCCAGCAGAAGACAGCGGAATCGTCTGCAACTGGTTCGTACAAGAAAGGTATGAACCCTTCATATATAATTCAAACAGGGACACATCTGCATTATTTCTGAGATCAAAGCATTATCTGAATTGCTTTTTCTTTCTTGTTTGACCCACAGTGGCTGGCTGTCAGAATAACAAAAAGACGAAAAGTTCGCTGAATTCCGTCGTGACCCAGAAGTCTTTTCAACAAAGGCAGGGGACAGCGAGAGGATGAAACACAGAGAATGTGGACCACAGCAAGATCATAATCATGCAGAGGTTGCAGGAGCGTTCGCCGCAGCGAATAGGCAACAGAAGGATTGCTGAAGGGCATTAGGAGTCATCATCAGCATAATTTTCGAGTCGAAATGTTCAGACGGTGAGATATCTCGCTCTTCCAGCTTCTCCCCCGCCACTGACAAACCCTGGCCTGACAGCTGATGCATGAGATGGGCTGGAGGGCTGTCACTGCAGATCCAGAATCAGAGCAAGTGAAGGACGGAGGGATTGAGGTGGGGAAGAAAATCGGAGGGCGACATTACAAATATAAAAGGTGGCCAAAGCAGAGCTCTGGCCGTTGAACACGTTCAACGTTTTTTATTGTTATCAGCTACAGAAAAATGCCGTGAAGATTCTGTGCTCCTACGCACAAGAAACAAGCGCACTCATTGGTCATTTTCAACAGCCTCTTGGCGACACGACATCAAGCAGAAATTAGCAGACATTATAGTTAATTTGGAGTTTGAGGGCACCTTTACCAGCTGCTGTGGAGAGGCTGAGAGAGAAATATTTCATTTGATATGTTTCCAGGTAAGTCAAAAGACCTTTTTCCCTGAAAACAACAGCCCAGTGAAGCTGCTTGTGACGCCATTGGAGTCCAAACGGTGAGCTATATAAATGCTCCTAAAATGGCGGTCCAGTCAGAATACAAATCCTTATGAAACTGCCTCATTCGGAATAAACTGACACCACCAGCATGATCACAGGGGAATTTGGAATGATCTAAGAGATGCGGTTAAAAACTTGAAAACCTACCACATCACTGAGAAATTTGTAATTTTATCTTATTATAAAGCTTAAAATGCCAGTACATATGAGCAGTGATGCGTGAAGTTTAATGAATATTGGAGCTTCTTTGAGAGACAATAATGCCCCCTAATTTAAGTTCTTTGGGTTGCCAAACAGTGCCTTGCCTCCAGTCAGACGCTCACATTTAGTCACGGCTGAACGTTTAGCATCTTAAAAGGTCATTTTCACAATGAGCTGCGTAATCAGCATCCAGCTTCCAGATGCCTGACAGTCATACAATGGTCTGACTGCCCTCTCAACAAACAAATAAAGGAAACTTGAAGAAAAGGAGCAATCAATTGAAAAAGCTGGCCAAACAAAGCATCTATTTGACCAGCAGAATGTGAGAAGATGAGGTGAAAGCCACCTGGGGTCTCTCAGTCCACGCTGTGCCAAATCACACCTCACACGTGGTGCCGAGCCAGCTCAGCCTCAAGAATTCCAAACACCAGTTTGACAACGGCCTTCGAGATTATGTCGACATAAATAAAAAGACCGGCAGTAGAGTAGGAGCCAAACTACGCCTCATTTACCATAAAACATTTGAATGGTAATTCCTAACAAAGTAGGCTGCTTCTCAGAGATATGTGAGGCTTATCCCCCCAAAGTAAAAAAATAACTGTTTTCTGAAAAAAAGAAGATGCTTGCTGCACAGAACAGCAGCAACTTAACCAAACAAGCCTTTTTGTGCTGTACCACCACATTTATAGTTCAACAGCTTGCAACGGCTTTTGTCTTTGTTAATGGGGCAAAGTGTTTTTGGGTTTTTTTTTCTCATGGAGTTTGAGTTATATGAGCAAGTGAGGATGGCAATAAGAATGGCAAGCTCTTCAAAAGACACACTATATACGGTACAGGCGACAACAACAGGGCAAGAATAGCGATCCTTAATATTTGATACCAAATGCAGTCTCTGGCAACAAATTCTAAACATTTTCTTTGACTTTGTTTAACAGAACCAGACACCTCAGGTTCAGCTCCGAGGACAGCTGATGTCTTTTTAAAAATGTTACTTTTAGCAAACCTTAAAGATGGTAATTACGATTTGATAGTGAAGACATTATCTTTCTGAAAATTGCTGAAAGATGTGGAGTAACAGGCTAAGAACTCAAATGATCAATGATGAGTGAGAGCTCTTAGTATTGTATTGACCCTAAATTGTCAGTTGAGTGGAAAACAGGAAAGTTTTGTAAACTGGCATGAGTCCATAAGCCAACTCCAGAATCCAGCTCAAACATGAGGAGTAGATCTAATATAAAGGTATTACTGTATTAAATATAATACAACAGAACCGCCTCAGTTGTCTGTCTATTCATTTTCTATACCGCTTATTCCTAGTAGGGTTGTTAGAGCCCTTATCATCTTTCATTGAGCAAGGCGCAAGTTGCACCCTGGACAGTTTATAGACAACCACACAGACTCACTCCCACGGTCTATTTCCAGTAATCTATTGAAGCAATTAACACCCATATTCTTTAGACTGTGGGAGGAAGCCAGGGGACCCAGGGAGAGTCCATGCACACACACAAAAACATAAAAAAACTCTACTCAGAAAGGCCCCTGAGATTCGAACCCCTTGCTGCGAGGCGCCAGGGATAAGAGCTACCTCAGTTATCATGATGATAAAGAATGTAGCCACGGCTGAAAAGCAGCTCTAACAGTCGAAAGTCACATTCACTCGTTCAAATTGTGTAGAAAAGCGTGTCCAAACCACTGTTACTGTGTCCAGATGTTCCACATACAATGGCACATGTTTATATTGCATCCATCCATTTTCTGAAGCGCTTATTCCCAAATGGGATCGCGCGGGGGGACTGGAGCCTATCCCAGTGGTCAATAGGTGAGAATCAACCTAACATGCCGGTTTTTGGACAGTGGGACAGACACAGAGTGAACATGCAAACTCCACACAGAAAGGTCCTGGGTCCCCCGGGGTACCCAGAACCCCCTGCTGTGATGCGATGGGCGTCCGGGACAAATCTGCTTCAAACTGATTTGAAAATATATAATATGCCTGCGACTTTCCCTATGCCACTCGCAGTAAAACCTTTTTTAAAAAAAAGAAAAACAAACTATCAAGGGTCTACTGTTCTTCATTAAAAAGGATTATTCATAAGTGGAATACATTCAAGAGATTTGCTCATTCTCTCAGGAGGTGACAGCACAAAAAATAACCACCATCTCAGATTCTAGTGGCCCACGTCTTTATGTTAAATAAGACATTTCGTTGGTGTACAATTAGAAAAATGCTGAAGTAAGTAGAGGTGCAGTTAAGAGTGGCTCTGCGTGTCTCCTTGACTGCCACTTTCAGTTTAAATCAAATTAGATTTGAAAGGATGGGGCTGAAGACAACACAGAGCAGCAAAAACATCTGCTGAATATTACACACCACATTTAGTCCTCACAAGAACACTCTAATGTTATTGAGGGTAGTCAAAATCACATAAGAAAAAAAAAAGAAACACCCCAAAAAAGCAAAACAAAAGTAGTCCTTTAAAATAACAAAAAATGTGTAAGGAGGAGACAAAGTAACTGGAGCTGGTGCTTAAGTTATGCAAGGATTTGCATGCAAAAAATAGTTACAGTGTACAATCAACAATTATGCAAGAGAGGTTTTGATAACCGACTAAAGATCTCTACTTGACGAATGAAGGAAATCTTGAAAAGTCGTCAACCTGCAAAGCATATCACTGTGCTTCTTACATGTGTTTTTTTATGCCAGAAAAAGTTAGTTTCCACATATCTCAGCTCACATATTAATCACTCGATAGCTTCTAAAGCCTGAACGAGAGTTCAGAAATAAAAGTGCCTTGATAATCTCTGTGTCTTCCCTGCTAGGTTCCCCTCAATCCCATTCATTTTGTCTTGGTGTCTGATGTGGGCGTGGCCTCTAAGCATTGACACTGGCACATCTGCTGTCTATCTTTACATCAGTCCTGCTGCATATTTACCCAGTCTGCCTCCCAGTCATCGCCAGACGGAATTGTCAAGTATTGTGGAGCTGTAGGCCATTTAGTGATTTGTGATTTTGCTCTACAGCTCAGTTCTGCTGTGAACATTTGCCTCCCAGTGTCTCAGGCACCTATTCCACTGCCAGCTAGCCTTGGTGCTTAGTTTTGTTCTTCATCAGACTACATTCTGCCTGCCCACTCTTTACCCTGTGCACTCAGCCTGCCAGATTCTCTATCTTCTTCCATCCTTACGGCTTTTTTTTTTTTGCTGCAGTGGTCATGTTCTGCTTTTGGGTCTGTCTCTGTTTATCTTCAGTGTGACAGGGAAAGAATGTCACTGAAAATCTTTGGTCTAGAGAGAGAAAAGATAGGCCAACAGTATATTTTTTTAAGGCTGATTGTTATGGGCATGAAGGGAAAACCGAGCAAAAATTGTGGCAAAATTGAAAAAAAATAATCCAACTAACCAAAGTGCCAAAAGCAAGAGTTACGATAGAGGTGGCTGAGCACAACTTAGGTACACTTCACAGATTTTTCATAAAAATGTAAATAAAAGCTTTTTTATTTCTGTTGACTTTCAAATCATGCAAAATGCTGTTTGTTTTTGTTTTGTGTTGTATGCTAATGATGGGCCAAGTTGTCCCTCTGGTACCTGAAGGCATTATGATTTTGAAAAGAATTTTCAGGCCTATAAGACCATTTCCAACCTGACAGAACTGTACTTAGAGAATGAAGGGACACAATGTATGCATTTCCTTTTTCCTTGGACCATGTAAGTTTTATTATATTTTAAGTAGAACAAACCCCCAAAGGGCCACAGTAGGCAAGAAGTGTCATAAGGGGGATCAAACTAAAAGCCCTGATAATCTCTGGATGCATTTAATTAGCATTTTCAGCCGACTGTCAAGAATGGTGAAAACAGATTCATAAAGCAATGAGGAGAAAAAAAACTCAAAGATGAGTGCAAGCGTAAAGAACAAAAGGCACCTGCAGAGAAATAGCCTTTGACTGCAATGCAGATTTCTGCTTCCATCTTAAACCATAAAAACATAATCCTTCTTAAACCTGTTAGGCACACGGCATGCCCTGAGCCAGAATAGAGTGGATATTCATCCAGAATTATAAAAATAAATAACTGGACTAATTATACTTGAGTACGAATTTCAGTGTAACTTCAGTAACACTTCTAATACTAATGACTATTATAATAACAATGATAATAATAATGATAAAAAATACAATCCTAACTACTTCAGTTCTTCTTCAGGCTGAGAAAGCTCTTCTACAGGAGTAGTTACTGCCCTCCTAATCTCTTCCCTGACTGCCTCCTACTCTTGGAGGTGGCTCTGTTTACAGAGGTGGTTGTCCTGTGTGGGAGCTCTCCTTTTCTGGTCTGCTGGTATTTAAGTGTATTGAGCAGATGAAACTTTAGCGATGTAGAATTGTTTTTTTCTGCCATCTGTCATCATGCATTCCATGAAGGATGATCACAATCTATTTGTCTCTCTGGCTGTGTGTTTGAGACTTTAGTCCTGCGTTAGCCAAGATTTTCTTCACTGCTTTAATGATATAGCGTAATTACAAAAATTTAATTTGCATATAATTTCATTCCATAGTATGACTGACACCTTCATCACACACTTATATCATTATAGCTTTGAGGCACCAATTTCAACTCCAAGAGGCATTGCTGTTAATCTGCTCGAGATGTTATTGAAGCAACTGAAGCTTGGATTCCTTGTACATTCTTTTGACTTGTGGTCGGTGTGGTGCCATGCTGATGTAGCGGCAGGGCATGTGACTTTGCCCCGTCAAGCCTGTCAGGCTGGTGAAAGGGCAAAGAAAGTGTGAAACAAAGCAACTCCTGGTTCACTGAGCATACTCAGAGGCCTCTAAACTCACCCAAATCCAAACCAGGAAAAATAGTTGCTATTTTATGTTTCCAGAAGTCAGAAATCTGTGCACTTGTGTACTTTTGATCAAAATGATAACATATGTATATTCATATATGTAACATATATATATGTATATATTTATTTTTTTTAAACTTTTTTTCCCGTCAGATCTATGAAGTAAACATCAAGACATTGTCAGCATACGTGGAGACTTTGAAGTTTGAAAGTGTTACTCAGAACCTGCATTAACCTCACAGTCAACACGGTAGAAATGGAGCTGGTGATGTACTCCTCAAAAGTATATATAGGAAAAGGCTTTATGCTTGCAACCAGAAGCTAAATCCACAGTGAACTCTCATATTGATTGGATTATCTCTTCTCTGCTGTTACAGAAAAAGATAGTGGAATGATTTTGTAACCTCTCTGGAAGAGTAACTAGTAGATACTTCATAAAATTCTGAAAAGCAAACTATCCATCCATCCATCCATTATCAATGCCGCTTATTCCCTCATGGGGTCGCGGGGGGAACTGGAGCCTATCCCAGTGGTCAACGGGCGAGAGGCAGGGTACACCCTGGAGAGTCCGCCAGTCCATCGCAGGGCCACACACAGGACATACAACCACTCACACTCACATTCACTCCTAAGGGCAATTTCCCCAATCTCCAATCAGCCTAACATGCAGGTTTTTGGACTGTGGGAGGAAGCCGGAGAACCCGGAGAGAACCCACGCAGACACAGGGAGAACATGCAAACTCCACCCAGAAGGGCCCTGGTTCCCCCGGGACTCGAACCCAGAACCCTCTTGCTGGGAGGCGACAGTGCTAACCACCACACCACCGTGCCGCCCCCAAAAGCAAACTATAAATTTCAAATTGAGATACTCTGCAACAATAAAAGAACACCCCACGTCATATTCCATTCCTACTATAGAATCCCTATAAAGGCGTCATGGGAGCCTCATGGGGCCTCAAGGGTTGTTGATAAGATGGACAAATCACCTCTCAAAGATGGAGTGACTCCAAAATATTTATTGACATGGTTAGTTCTTCTTCTTGCTGCTGTTTGAAAGTGATCGGATCGGATGTGTGCATTCAGATATCATCTGGAACCTTTCTGCATGGATTGGTAGGAATGAAAAAGGTCAGTTTCTGATGCTACACTGATGCGAAGAGCCTTGCAATGGTCCGTTCCCTCCAGCATGGCACACAGACGCAGCTCCCGAGCAGCCAGTTCGGTTTGTCTCAGTGTCTGTCAGTGGACTGCTCCTTCATCCCTTTAGGAGCCCTCTGCATATACTCTGCATATACTCACTGGAATCTACCAAGCGTCTCTCCATAGTTGATATCATTGTCACTTTGTATATATATATGGAGATTACTGGAACAAGCATTTTGACAGGGGAGCCAGTCTAAATACTAACAGACAGCATCTAAAACAAATCAAACTTAAAAAAAACAAATCATCAATTTTCTTTTGTCAGAGTATCTGTGTTTCTCTTGGACTAACATGTGCTGGTTCTGCACAGTTGTAACTCACAATTTTGCTGAGAACTTGCTCATCTTCATTGTGACTGGTCCTGTTTTAGGTGGCTGTACGCATAGTTTAACCTTCCAAAATCCACCCTGATTCTCCAAAAGTGGGAGCGCTTTGACTGCGTCCTTTTTTCAGATCAGACACTCGTAAACACGTCACAACGCCCAACCTAAACTGTAACCACAGGATACTGTCTGTTAACATGACAAGACACGTCAGTCTGGATACAACTCCGATATGGATTTATGGATTCGGTCCTGCAGTCCAAACAAGGGTGAGACTCTTCATCTTCACACTCTGCCCTGAAACACCACTACTCTCACTGTATTCATTGCAAATTGATGACGGGGAAAAATCCACACATGAGCGTAATTTGTAGGACATAATGAATATTGGATGGGACTCACATTTTGACAAAGGGGTCAGAGTAGCCGTTGGAGTCCATAGCTGCCAGATGGGCACAGCGTATGATCCCGACCAGCAGGCAGCCCTTCTCTGTGTTATAGCACAGTGACACCAGGATCCGTCCACGCTGGGCACACAGAAAGCCACAGTCTCACACACATCCTGGTACTCCTTCGGAGCAATTTGCTCATGGAAACAACGTAAAGATGAACAAAAACAACATAAAGAAAAACAGAACACGTGAGATTTGTTACGCTGTTTCTCCGCTTATCGGAACCGGTTTTGTCTGTCGGTTTCAAATTAAGGCTTGTAAATGCCGGCTTCATCTGAGCCTGATAAGATGACACCCTATTCTCCCTTTAATCTTCAGGTTGAAGCAAAAGCTGAATCTAATCGGAGACCAGACGATATTAGTCTTCTGTCTTTCTAAAACCATGATGGGAAATGAGATGCGAAACACTAGATTTGCAGCACTGGTGTGATTTATACACCGCTGATATACAGTGTCTGCAGCTGCTAATCACACTGTTAAAGTTCACGCCTCGGACATAGATTAGAAATGTCTAATTAAACTATGTTTTTCTCGAAGATGGCAAGGATGAATAGGCGGTAAGGGAAGCTCGAAAGATAAGACAATATGTTCAATACAGGAGACTAATCAGAAATGACAGTGAGCCAGGTTTTGCTTAAAAATTCTAATAGTAAGATTGATGATGGCGATAAATCCGACGGTAGTTTTACCTCCTCCTCCGCCACCAGCGCTCCCTGCTCCACCATTTGATTGTTGGCTTCTTTATTCTGAAATGACAGTGAGGAATTTCTGTTATGCAATAAATTGCAGCACTTGTAATGTATGCCCGATAACGTCAGAGCACAGTGTATGTAGGACACGTTTAAAACTGTGGGTACAGAGCCAGAGAAACTCATTTAGAATGCATGTAAGCCGTCCATGCACAGTCCCACGCACATACAAACCTGAGCGATTCTCTCCAGGCCCATGTTGTAACGTTTGGTCTCACCCTCTCTCAGCTTCTTCAGAGCCACTCTCACCTCCCCGATGAATTCATTTCTTCCAAGTCTGTCCATGTCACATACACACAGCCTTCATACATACAGATGGGGAGAAAAAAAGAATCAGATTATTCATTTATGTCAAGTCTGCACCTGCTTTTCCCTCCTTATCATTGTGGAGGTAGTCTGTTTTGGGCCAAATACATTCAGAGTGCATGAGAACAGGTGAACACAGGTGAGTTTTTTCTTTTAAAGCAGCCTCATGAAGTGAAAGTTGTGTGATTGCAGAGTGTTTCCAGATGATTCCAATCACTCCCCACTTAATTTCTGCTCCATTAGCCGCTAGACTGTTCTAATTGAAAAATGTAAGGGGACAAAGAAATCATTTAAATCAAGCAATCAGACTCCTTTTTTTTCTGAAGGACATAAGATTTCATGACGCATGCTATTAAGTAGATTCTCCAATTTTTCCTTGTAAGAAATGGGTATAGATTGTTCTAATATACAACAATCAGCCACAAAATGACTTGTAGTGCTCCTTGGCTGCGTGTTGACAACATGCATCCAAGAGCACTTGGCTCACTTTTTGTATGAACTAACTGCCAGAAACAACTTTCAAGATTTTCACCATTTTCAAGATTTTCCGACTCAATTGACCAGCAGCTTGTCATTTGTTGAAATCAGCGATCAGTTGTCGGCCTTGTTTTCAGTCTGTCACGTAACGCCCAACTACCTCCTGTTGCAGAGCACAATACAGTATCGTTACATTTAAGTATGAATAATGTCTGAGCAGCCATTTGTATTAACCTGTCAGGAGGCATGCATAAACGAGCTTGCCAGCATGTGCCGATTGGCCGGATAGTGGATGTGTAACAGCCGGCCGAGTAGTGGGACAATCTGCTGCATAAGCTGTTCTTGCTCATGTTGGTGCTGTTCTTGATTATCTAACTCTGCTCTGTAGAATACAACTGAAGTCAAACTGTACTATTATCTTCTTTTCAATGCAGCAAAACGCCATATCCAAGACAATGGATATCGTTGTGAGCAGATGTTTTCTTTGCTTTTCACCTAGTTGACCCATGAATTATCCCACTTGCCACTGTTAAGAACTTGCTAATTAAAGCTGACAGATTTGTGTTTTTCTTAATGGTTTGGTATGTATTCAAATAGATAAAAAAAGCAAAAATATCAAATACATACGAGTCAAAAAGACATTTTCTTTTATTTAGCTTTTTTAATAGTTACATATTTCCGAAGTGAATGACTTAGTTGTCAGACTACTGTTTAATTTTCATTGACTGTTTGGTTCAGGCACCAAATGTATTTGATAAGATTAGAAGAAGATCACAGCTTTTAGAAAAACTGTCTTTTTGAACCCCAAACTTCCCATGCAAAGTGTTGCGGTGTGATTAACTGAGAAAGAAAAAGAGCCTTTTGGCTTTAATTAACCTAAACGGAGTGTGCATGCAATACAGATGGTACCAAAATGACTTTTGTTGACCTTTTTTAACTGAGTGCATATGGCTTTAAGTCAAAGCTAAACCTATGTAAAATAACAAACGTCTGGTTATTTTAGTTTTATTCTCGTTTTCAATAAAGTAATTTGTTCATTCTGCTACGTTTCACCTACTTAATTGCTAACCCTTAAGGCACTCTTAGGGCCACCTGTGGCAGAGTACAAGCTACGAATACGTTTATAAATCTTCAAACTGCAAACATGTCGACAGTACAGCATCATTTTTTACAATGATTCATTATTAAGAAACACATATATATTATTCAGACCCTCTCGTGATGGAGTCCATTTTCATGATCCTCAAAGCAAAGACACTCTCTCGAAGAAATCTCAAGAAATGCTTATTCAGTTTTAGGCGAAATACGATGCAAATAGAAAAGCTGAACACTGTTTGCATGCGATGTTGATGATGTGATGTCCCTTAAAAATCTCTTTTGCTGGCTCGCAAAAAGAACAGGAAAATGAAGCGCTCGTGAGGTGCAATGATGCGTAAACAGTGAAAGGAACAGATGTGAGATGTAACTGCTGTGCATCTGCCTGGCGGAATCGATTAGTCAGTCCACAGAAGAGGATGAAACGGTGATGAAATTAATTATATCGAGCCATATCAGTGAGTTTGGAGCTGACTATCTATAATTTCCTGAGTCACATTTGATCTTTTATGAGACAAAGAAAGTAAATCTCATGAATCAAACTTGAATGAACAACTCACTGAAAGTGTTGCTAATGTGTCAACACTTTAGGTTAAATGATTATGCAATGAAGCACATTTCCAACGGATGACTAAGTTATTTATTTATGAGAACATTTTTTATTTTACCTCATATCGGCCTCCATCCTCAAAGGAAAATACCCCCACTAACTTTCATCTAAGATTTCATTTCTTATCGACTTTTCTTAGAATAAAAAAATTGAATTTCTGTAAGTAATCTTTATTCACAATCCATTTACCGGTAGTTTTTAGGATGGAAAAATATGAAAGGGCTGCAATAAAGTGGTACTAAGAGCTGCTCATGAAATACAAGATGGGGAAACACATCAATTCACAGTCTTTTTTTCCCCATAATCTTTTTCTTATTTACAAGCACCAGAGAAACTCCTGGAAGGCTCGCTTTTCCACGAAACTGAGAAATACTTTCTGCAGAAAAAGCCCGAACTTTTGGGAGAGCTGGTGTCAGATTTCACAGCAACTCTCTGGTCCCTCACAGACACCCTGCATGTACTGTATGACAAAGCAAAGGGAAATAAATATTCTGACAGCCGTGGTCATGAGTCAGAGCGATGCTGAAGCTTCTGCTAGAGATACTCATCAGTTATGACTAAAAGGCTCGAACCAGCATGTCAAACGTCCAACTGTCAGAAGACAGGAAGAAAAGGGGCGGGGGCGGGGGGGTGGGTGGGTTGTGTTTGACTGAAGACAGAGAAAGGAATGCGGCTCAAATTCATTTCACAGAAGCGGCATTGTTCCATTACTGAGGAAAATATTGATTTGGTTGCCTCTTATTAGATTTAGAATGCATTTAAAGAAAAAAAAACATGGTAGAAAGGAAAATGTTGTTTTCTGATAAAAGGTTAGAAGTGAGTATAATAAAGCGATGATTACTGGAGATAAACTTGAGTCAGTAATTTTTGTTCATAAAAGATGACTCTGCTCCTGCTATTGCTGATAAACATAGGATCTTACCATGATACACTCTCTGCCCTCAAAATAATGAAGATAATTACTTTTTTTCTGCAGCCAAACCAGCTTTTGTCCCTTTAAAAGCACAGAACTGCATTTCTGTGGGTCTGGAATGGATGTCTCTGTATAGATTTTGTAATGGGCATAGCATCCCAGCAGGGCAAGAAAAAAGGCACCAAACCTTTTACACACGAAATAGAGATCAAAATTCATAAAGGGAGACGACGAGAGGATGGACTTGAATCCACCCCTGGGCATTGAGGAATGTGGGTGTTAAGACTTCAAAATGCAAAACACTCTGGAAGGACCTGAATGATTTAAACGTTGCTAGGAGAGTTTTTAAGATTCAGAGCAGATGTCAAGTACAGGATGGTGTGGTCTGACCCAGACTGGATTTGCTGTGAACAACCAAAGAACTCTACCTTCCACCCACAACACCCCCCCTCAATAGAATACTTTTAAATGAATGTGACATCTTGTAAAGCAAGAAATCCACCAAATATTTCAACGTCAGAGCAGTGAAAAACTACAGAATAGTGACTTAGATTTGGGAAATAACATGATAACACATTACTAAACTGCATAAGGTTGGAAATTGACAATGACTGACTCTACAGCCGGGACCGCATTTTCCTGATATCTTTAGTCACACATTTGTGTGTGGAGTTTTCATTCACGAGTCCATTGCATCTCAGTCAATCTAAACTTAGATTAGGTTCGGAGATTGCATAGGCCAGGGAACACCAAATGCTTTTCAGGTCAAGGAGTCCTCACAGAGTCAGCGGATGAGTTTCGACTGCGAGTATTAGGTTGGAAAATGAATGAAGGTTTCCCCTGTATAGCGAAGTGTTGTGACAGAATGTTGTGGCCGCCGTCCTGGCCAAAGCTGCACAGAATTCTGAATGAATGTCCATCAGCAAAGCACCCGCAGAGGTCATCCTGCACGCTTCGCAGCAGGACGCAAATGAGCAGAAGCCATTTGTTTACACTCCAAATGAGATCTGATATCGCTGCCTTCACTGAGCCGTGGACGGAGCTCGATGAAGTCAGATGATCACTCTGGGAATCCCAACCAAAATTTGATCATTGCATATGGTGTATTTCTAAACTCCTTTTTCTCTTTTTCCTGAACATAGCAGCACCTTGCTACACGCCACCTGAGGCATATAGTATCCAATCTCAGTCCTGACCTCCATCCAGCAGTGAATCAAACCTTGGATATGTTCCCATTTCCCCACAGCCGACAACAGTCGAGTCTATTATGAAGCCAGTCGGAGGGACACAGAGATAGTGTGAAGAAATTGAGAGGGATGGCCTAAACCTGGCCATGACATCATGTTCATACTCTTTTAACACACACATCGCACACACATAGGCTGCCTTGATACCCACCCTGAATAACAAAACATCCACATCTCTACCTTCCATCTTTGGTGCAGTGATCTGGCAGCCTGATAATCCTTTTAGTGACATACTTTAACTCATGAACTTTCGAATATGAGCCTCTCACGCTGGCTTCTTCCCAAGTTAAGCATTAATTTTTTACTCACAGCTATTTAGACATGATACCGACATAAAAAAGATTTGTGCCATTAAATAAAGGTATGATTTAAAGAAGACATCATCGCCTTCATTGGTCTCAGACTCATCTTTAAATTGCCGAAAAGCCAAGTAGGACTGCTGCAGCATTAAAAAAAATATATTTGGACCTTATCTTTCAGGCACATCAGCCCCCGAGTAATAAAACTGTCTCAATGATTCTCTCAGGAAGACGTTAACAACTTTTCCTTCCTGTTTCTACGACTAAATAAATCCGTGACAGCGCACAAAATCAGACTTTAAAGCAGCAGACGGGCATGGGAGAAAAAAATCATCAGTGTTCTTTTAAATGCTTTTAAACAATTCAAATTTGATACAATTCAAGTCCGTAATAGAATAAATAATTCATCGATATGGTGCCGTGCATTCCGGTTCGCTGGACTTTTCACTCAAGACTGCAGCACCTCCAGCAGCCTTGCTGCTCCAATTAAAGGATTAGCCAGTATGAGGCCAACCGTGCAGTTGGGATTGGGGACATTAGTTATTGGTTTACTCAGCTGCTTCATTCCTAATAGCAAAATGGACCCCCAGTGGCCCTTAGAGATAAAGTAAGCACACTGAAGCTCAAAGTCTTTGAAAAAAGATTATAAAAAAATTAGCATTCTTATACTTTTTTTTAAACTTCCCAGCCATTTTAAGCCTGTCTCCTATTAAGATGTCCTTCTTTGTATTTTGCTTAAGCATCTTGGCATTGGGTAATCACTCTCATTGCCAATGAAGAAAGGAAATTAACCGATGTCCCAATCCACCTATTGCTACTTCGCAGGCAATTCGACAGTTCGGGGCTGAATTCGAGCATTTATCAGCTGCTGTGATTCGAGTTGTCTCAAGGAACCGTTAAAAAAGCAGCTGAAAGAAAATCATCAAAACCCATTACCGATGCTATTTGCAGCTTACATTTTGGTGACAGGCCATGGATGTGTTTACATCTTGTAATTACTTCCGTATATGGTGTTTATGGCAGTGGTTTAAGATGAACACAGCATAAGAGGTTCACAGAGAAAGAAATCTGCACGCATTTCCATTTCCCACAGCCATTGCACGGTATTAAAAATGCTCATTGACAACAGACAAAAGAATTTATATTGCAAAGCAATCACAGAAACTGTAATGCATTCGTCACAGAGGTAATCACTTTGGTTAAAACCATGGGTATAGAGCACACACACATAGGACTCAGAAAGCACCCAACATTTAGATAGGGCAGAGTAAACCTTGTGAAAATCAGACTGCTTGAAGCCTTTTAGAGATTAATACATCTTTCATATAATATCACTTTACGATTTCTGTTATGTGAATTTTAACAATCTACACCTACTGAATTCGGACCACTGTTGCAAATCCGTGCTCTACCTTGAGGCCAGTTTGATAGATGTTTGCAAATATGAGTTTTGCAAAGTGTTTTTTGCGGATTGAACCAGGATGAACCAACGAGCCTTCGGATATTATACTTTGAATCTGTTTTTTATTTTGAATTACAAACTTGAGAGATTGTAGGAGAGAGGTCAAGACAGTTGAGCTCTGATGCAGTGGTATGATCAGAAGCTCATCACCCAACTCCGAACCTTGCTCTGCCTTTAATTTCAGAAGCTTGTAATTAAAAGCACTAATCTATGCACTAAAAAGAACTAATCTATGTAACCTATTTACAGGGCTGCTTTAACATGCCTAAGCCATTATTGCTGTGATATTAGTATGACATTTAAGGCTTTATCACATGTTTACTGTAAGCCCTGTCATTGACATCCCATAAAAGCCACACCCAATGCAGTAGTAACCAAAAAAACAGCCTACACATGTAAATCATTTTTATGATTAAGATGTAATTACTGTGGCTAAAAGTGAAAGTCTTTATCACTATCTTCGATTTTGATAAAACCTTGTGACAAGCACCACTCTGATTGCTGACCATCCCACAATTCAACTCTTTTGATTAATTCGTACCACTTTTGTGGCACAGGTTTAAATGGGAGCTGGATGCTGCAGTTGAAGAAACAAATTTGATAACCAGCCATAGCTGTCCTGTGTCAAATTATCAATCCGACATAGCTGGCTGGTAAAGAGCCAGCGCCAGTAGAGGCCAACAACCCAGCAAAAAACAATGCGCGTTTCCATTTCCAATAAATAAACCCAACAACTGCCGGTCGGAAAGAGAGGGACGGAATAACTGCATCGACACATTCCCCGTTCCAAGACCATAAACCTTAAACCAAAATGTACCGGCTCAGACAGCTGTGACCCATTTTAACAATAAACTCTGACCCGGCTCAGGCCTTTAGGGAGGCTGAGCCCAGTCCTCCAGCACCTCTGCACACAGAACACAGGGATCAAAGAGTACAGCATCCCCTCCGCTGCACCCTGCCGGGACCTGCAGAGCCAGACGCACTCGACCCAGTGAGCAAACATCACTCTGGGGATCGCTCTCTACTCCCTCTTTTTCTTTCTGAAGAGTGATGGGAACAAACTTGTTTCGCCAGCAGAGGTATTGTGCCGGGGAACGCATCCAGCCAGAGCTCAAACCCATTTTTCCTCTCCCTTCCCCCCCCGTGCGTGTTTCTTTTTCTCCTTTTCTCTCTGCTGTCAGCGCACGTCATTCACTCTGGCTCCTTCGCAGTGTTTCTCACTGTCCTCGTTTTTCATGTTTTTTGGGCTCCTCTTTGAGCGAACTCCTCCCCATAAGCCTCCCTTTTATCTCAGCTGAGTGAAATTTCCCATTTATCACTTCATTCAAGAAACAAAAACCACCCCCTCTTTTCCCCTTGTCTTTCTCTCTTTAAGTGGGTCCTTGGATTCCCTCCATCCTGTGCTTCTGTTATCCTTCTCAGTCATGCCCCCCCCTCACACACACACACACACACACACACACACACACAC